TCCGTGGGCTTCCCCAATGCTCTGACATTCTGATTTTCTTAAATAACAGCAATAATCCATCAACTTGCCCGGGATGATGTACATTCTAATCTGATTAATATTTGGTAAATGAAGTGCTTTTCAGGGAAATGGCAGGCATGACCTCCCAACAGTCTTTGACTTCACAAATTCAAGGATCCTCTGAGTTGCCCTCTGTGTTCTACATTCCAGGAATCAAAACGAGGACAGACCATAGAAAGGGGGAAGGGGAGAAGAAGGCCCTAACAAGACCATTGGGGGAAGGAGGAGGAAGATGCCCTTGCTGGTTACCTAGGAAATAGGGGAAGGACCACGTGCCATTGGCTGGCCTTGGAGCAGATTTTCGAGAGGCAAACGGCACCTGGCCACAACAACAGGGTGTCCAAGGGCTGAGTATTTGGGGTGCCTCTCCCTTTGTCTTACTGAGCAGCATGAGGGTGAATTCAGAGGGTTTCTCTTCCCCCCTGGGAAGTTCCTTATACTAGTTAGGCCTATCTGGAAACTTGGCACTCCCACACCTCTACAATCGTGGGGCTGGCCGCCTAGTCCTCTCCTCCCTCCCTTCCCACGGCCCCCCCACCACACACACATGCTCACTCACCCCGCTGATTCATTATACAAATCAACAAAGAACCGGGCTGGCTGCACAGAAACCTGCAGCCGGGGGTGGGGGTACCCAAGCACAAAGTGCCCCCCGGCCCAGCTCCTCGCTCCGCTCTCCACCTTGGCCAGGCTTTCTTTTCAGTGCCCGTGTGACACATGCTGAAGGGCTCAGACACCGATGCTCGTGTTTCTGACAACCCGAGAGCCGGGCATCCTGATGTCCTGCCACTGGTGGAGAAGTGATGATTTGCCCAGGGTCACAGAGCTGCTCAGGAGCAGTCCATCAAGGGTCGGGGGGTTCAGACCGCAACCTCCCAATGGCTAATCCGTGGCTCATCCCAACTCTGCCAGCCCTGGGGTTGGCTCCGGCTTTCCAAGAGGAGCCAGAAATGAGGCCAGGGCTCCATTTCATTTCAACGGAGGCTTCAAAAACAACAAAACAAAACAAAACAAAACAAAACACAAAGCTGCGGGGGCACCTGGGTGGCTCAGTCAGTGGAGCATTTTGACTTCAGCTCAGGTTATGATCTCACAGTTCATGGGTTCGAGCCCCGGGTCGGGCTCTGTGCTGTCACTGCAGAGCCTGGATCCTGCTTCAGATTCTCCGTCTCCGTCTCTCTCTGCCCCTCCCCTGCTCTCGTTCTAATTCTCTCCCAAAAATAAATGAACGTTCAAAAAACTTTTTTAATTAAAAAAAAAAAAAAAAAA